CCTGATGTGGGTTCTGAGACCTGAGCTCAGGTTCTCTGGAAGAGCAGCTAGTGTTCTTAACCACTGAACCATCTCCCCACACCTCCATTTAGTTTTGATTTGCACTTTCTGCATGACTAACAGCACTGAACATTTTCCATGTGTTTATTGGCTACTTGCATGGTTAGGTTTTGTATGTGCATGTTTGTGGATGTGCATAAGCATGTGGCAGCCAAAGAACAACCTTGTGACCTCGGGTGTCATCCCTCAGGAACTGTCTATCTTTTTTATTTTTTTTTTAAACAAGGTCCCTCATTGTCCTGGGATTCATTAAATATACTAGGCCAGCAAGCTCCAGGATCTGCCTGTCTCTGCCTCCTCAGCACTGGGATCACAAGTGTGCACCTTTACACCCAGCTTGGTTCTAGGGATCCAACTCAGATTCTGCAAGCATTGTACTGACTGAGGTGGCCCCCCATTCCTGTACTTCTACTTCTGGAAACTGTGTGTTCAGCTCACTTGCCTATGCATGAACTTGAATATTTTGATTTGAGTTGTTTGACTTTTTGAGTTCCTTATATATTCTGTCAATTAATCCTGTGTCTGAATAGCTGGCAGGTCTATTCCAGAGGTCATTTCTGATGCTTTGCCAAAATTTTCTAACTTAATGTGAGTCCATATGCCAATTCTTGCAATTATTTCCTGAATGATTGGAGTCCTATTCATAAAGTCATTCTGTGCTTATACTTTGAGCTGTTGACCCTACTTTTTTTGCTTTAAGACTTTCAAAGTTTTATGGCTTCCATTCAGGTCTTTGATCACCTTTGAATTAATTTTTGTGCAAGATGACAAACAGAAATATGGATTCAATCTTCTCTATGAGGCTTTCCAGTTTTTCCAGTGCTACTCATTAAAGAGGCTGGTTTTTTTTTTTAAATCTATCTCGTGTTTTTTGGCATCTACAATAAGTATTGCTTGAATGTAGAGACCACAGTACCTCAACAGCTGATCTGAAAACTGAGACAGCAACTAAGCCATGGGGAGGCAGCACACACAGTGTGGACACACTAGTTAATATGGGGAGGTAGTACACAGTGTGGACACACTAGTTAATATGGGCAGGTAGTACACAGTGTAGACACACTAGTTAATAACTAAGCAATGGGGAGGTAGCACACACAGTGTGGACACACTAGTTAATATGGGGAGGTAGTACACAGTGTGGACACACTAATTAATAACTAAGCAATGGGGAGGTAGCATACACAGTGTGGACACACTAGTTAATAACCAAGCAATAGGGAGGCAGCACACACAGTGTGGACACAGTGGACAAAGGCATGATTCATGTCTCATGTTGAACAGAGCAGGACAGTGTGAGAGTTCCTCATAGCAGTCTAAATGCATGACAATTAGAACTAGAAAACCGTTTCTGGAAGTTTACTTTTTTCTGATCACAGATGACTAAAGGTCATTGAAACTGCAAAGGTGAAATGACAAGTAAATGGGGGGCACTGTGTCATCATTCCATCATTCCAAGTATTACTGGATATACATTTGCCCTTGAACTTCTGTCTTCAGTACTTCATTTATCTTCCTCCCTCCCTCCCTCTTTTCCTCCCTCCCTCCCTCCTCCCTCTCTCCCTCTCCCTCTCCCTCTCCCTCCCTCTCCCTCTCCCTCTCCCTCTCCCTCCCCCCCTCTCTCTTTCTTTCTTTGAAACAGGATCTCTTATAGCCCAGGCTGGCCTTAAACTCACTTTGTAACTGAAGATAACCTGGAACTCTGCACTGTCTGCCTCTACCTTCCAGCTGCTGGGATTATAGACATGCACATACCTAGTTAGTGACTATTTTCAAACCCCAAAAAGGATCACAGTAAATACACCCTAATGATTTAAATATTCATCTTATGTTTTATTTTCTTTGAGGAGATTTAAACCATATTTTAAAAAGAATTTTGTCCTCCCCTTGAAAATTTCATGGTAATATGAGTTGCTCATATAGTCAGGAAATGTTTGCTGTTAAGTTTTTTCTTTTAATAAAACATAATGACATAATGTAAAATAGAAAAGTCTTC